GGATTTGCTGGGAGAACGCTAACTTCTGCGCCAGTGTCGACGAGGTAGCGAACTCTCGTTGTCACATCTGTGACGAATAACAGACGGCTATGTTCGCCGGCTACGGTTGCCGTTAACGCGTGCCGGCTTGGAAGTTTCCCGAATTGCCTTTCGAATCAGTCGGTTTCGTGTTGGGAAAATTGCAGGGTTTTCTGCAATTTCTGGAAAACTTTCCATACTGGTTATGATACCAGCACCAGTCAGGGTTATCTGTCTCTCGTGGTCTAGAGACAGATCGCTTACGAGAAATGCTTCTACGTGGTGTGCGCGATCTCTTACGGTCGTTACGAAGACTAAGATAACGCGTGAGTGTGTGACATAAGTCGTTTATATCATTCTGAGTCGTTTGAGGTTTTTCTTTGACTGAAAATACCTCGGTAGTAGATTTCGTAATTTCTAAAATGCGGTCGGCAGATGCAGCTAGCTCGTCTAAGGCATTGTTCTGGAACGAGACCAGAACTGCTTGCACCTGTTGGGGAAGTTTTGACAAGAAGAGTTGTTTGAATAGGCCTTCGTCGAAAGTTCTTGGGCCTATTACCTCTCTCATCCGTTGCAACATGTCCGTCGCAGAACCGTGTTGCAGGTCGATATTGTTGAAGAGTTGATCTAACCTTTGTCGATCGGTTAGGTCTCCTCGTTTAAGAATCGAGCGTTTTAAGATTTCGTAAGGATCGGAAACATCACTAGTAAACATACTAGGTGTTACGTACCTGTTGAATTCGCGCGGTAGTGCCTTGACTACTGCGAGGAATTGTGCACGTGTGTCGATCACGCCGTGCTCGGAGAAGTCGGCTTCTGCGTAGCAAAACCAGGCTTCGATGTTGTCGGGCCAGAAAGGCATCAGTTGAAACGAAGGCGGGGACAAAGTCTTAAGCTTGAGTACTTTAGGTGTCTGTTCAGTCATGATGAAGTATGAAGTACGATAATGAACGAGGGGAAAATATATATATCCAGGAAAAAACACGAAAAAAAATCACAATGTTTAAAAAAATAAAAAAATAAGGCAATGATATATAAAAATCCCAAAAAGGAACAGACTCACAGTTGCAATTAGGTGTACCAGATCACGTCGGTTTCACCAATGATGATGTCACAGGTATTCAGTGTTTGACAACGCTTCTACCAGTAACACCTTCTAATATATTTCGTTCCCGCCCAGAGAAATCAAAAGACAGAGTCGAGGAGATCGGAAGAGTATATTTGGCGATGACCAATATATCGGAATTCTCTGATCTAATCTGGCTAGCGATTGCGGTTGATGTTGAGCACGGCGTTACCACACGTGATCTGGTGCGGATGCCTGACCGAGCGCCTTCAGCTAGATGAGTCCACTAAAACATATGGTCAGCATCCAATGTCGAAAACTTAGTGCTATTTATTTTGGGGATTTATTTACCGCTACACCCATGTTATGCTTTGCGCAAGTAATAGTAGCTGACCTTATCTAATATTCATGAACTCAAGGTAAATCACAACTGCATAAATTCTTTGCTAAAAAACATGTAATTTGGTTATTTATCTATTCCACATTTCTGACTAAATTCATCACTATTTTTTTCATTTAGAATGCAACAGGAGTGCCTTCACAGACCCTAAAAACTGTTTCGCCCTTGGAACTATATCCCTATGGAACTGATTACGGGAGACCCAACGAATAGCAGATTATAAAAAGGATGCTGGACTTCCATTTTAGTCTCACAACCACTTCCAGTATTTTTTGACTTCTTTTACTCTTTCGTTTGGAAAAAAACAACAAAAACTGCAGCTTAACATCGCCAATACAACTTTTAAACGGGAACTTGGTTTAAACCTTTGTTTGATATTCGATTCTTAATGGATGTTCTTGAATAAATTTTTGAATCTAATGCTACTGTTTTATCTACTTAATCGTTGCAAGAAACTTGTGATAAGCGAGCCTCTCAGCACCTAGTTCATGTGTTCAAATGGTTGTGGACTGAATAGAAGCTTTCGCTTAACAGGCTTCCGTGTCTAGTAGCGGGGGGTCACCAAAACCTCTAGGCAGGAACCTAGGTATGTTAACAATAAAAGAGGATAGAGAAATTGGTAAATCATAGTATGATACTATCCTTAAGAATAGATCCACCTGCCTCTTAAAGGACTCTTGGGAAGTCGCTTGGACTAGCTCGGCGGGCAGCGGATTCCAGCATTTGACAACTCCTAAGGAGTAGAAGTTGCGTCTACAGTCCGCTCTGCTATGTTGTGTCGCTGGTTTCTGGGACTAAGCTTAAGTAGGTGTTTTAGGGGATGTCCAGAATTGTTAAGGTTATTGTAAGCCATTAGGTCACCTCTAAGACGTCTATGCTCTAATGAGTAGAGGTTAAGTGATTGGGGGCGCTTTTCAAAAGGTGATTTGGTGCATATCTTCGTCATTTTCTTGCGAGACTTACATACTCGGGTCCTCTCATAACTTATTCTAACCACCATGGGTTGTCACGGCAGCTGATGGATGTACACGCGTTACACATCCTAACCGTACCTGCGTCTTATCTTATAGCTTCTAATTCAAATGACAAGCAAGCAATGCCCCTACCCGCACTAATGGAACACTAGTAACTAAAATGCACCCCGTATGGTACCTTACACTGGTTTACGCACTCGCTTAGCTCTTTAGTGAGAATATTAATACGGTCCTGCTGAAAATCCCATGAACCCCTTTACCTTCATCAAAACAAATAAGTCTGTATTTGCTGCATATAGCAATTTTATTATTCAAAAGTAAGATATAACAGTTAGAATTGGAGTAAAATGGAAGTATACAGCAGATGCACGTGGTACATATCTTTCTCGATTAACTGAAATAGAGAATACGGATATTAGCTTAACAGGCTTATTTAGAAAGACTAGGGTCTAATTTGAACTTACTGCGTGAGAAAGTTATACTGGAACTACGAATGTTGTAGAAATAGAGTTTCTCGGGGCGTACGAAGCACTCAGACTGTAAGACAGTTGTCCAAAAATAATTCGAATATGAAGGTGAAAATTTGCAGATACTTTTCATTGTAAGGGTGAACATATTAGGTATCAGTTGACATCATACCGTAAGAAAACACAAATTTGCGAGTGGTGAAATATGATCTATAAAAAAGTGAGCTTAATAACAGATAATTATCTTTTTACTCCCTGATCATGACACTTCGGCTTCCTTTCATGGCCAAAACAGCAAACATACACTACACACTGGTAGCAGATTTCCGGCTTTTCAATGTTAAGCTTGCTTTAACACACTGCATAATGATTACAACCCCTCTATTACTGCTGTATGGCATATTTTTCATAACAAATCCTCTGCAATAGATTGGTAGCATCTGTGACTTCATCTATAGTTGTCGGAAGTCTGGATCCTTTCGAAATCAATACCGATATACCCTACTCCTTGGCATTCTGTATTAGTTTGACTCGTTGGTGGGATAGTGTTGTCCATAATACTGAAGAAAATTAAAAAAACGCAGATTGTTTCCTTTCGTTTTGACGATAACATCATAAAGGACAGTTAGGAACGAACATGCGAACAGTTAAAGTCACAGGCGGCAGCAACAATTATTATAGCTAAATGAAAACGAACTTCGGCTTTGGATATCTAGAAAACAAGGTAAAACATAACCGATTGTCGTTTAGAAGCGTATGGTCTTATGTTAGTACTAGCCAGCTTAGCTGAATAAATACAGTGACTTCAGTAGCAGCAGGTAAAACCCAGAAAACAAAGCGAAATCAGGAAAATTTTTGCTCCAACGTTTAGATCTAAATCCAAAACTTAGTGTAATACTCGAGTATTACACTAAGTTTTGGATTTTAGCACAATAAATTCTGTAGCTACACAAAAGAAATAGCGGAAAAAACACAGAACGAAGAAAGCCGGCCGACATTTTATAACACTAGACCAGCCAGACTGCCCGAAGAAATACATTGACTTGAGTAGAAGCAGCAAAAACCCAGAAAACATCGCTGATTCGAAATAAACTTCACACCAACATATAGAACATTACACTAACTGCGGCATTTTAGCACACTGAGACATTAAATTACACAGCTACACAAAATAAATAGCTGAAAGAAGCACAGAACGAAGAAAGCCGACCGCCATTGCTTACGAAGATGGCGGATGTAATAATTCCCGCCTCATTCTGATTGGTTGCTAAGCTGAAGGGCACATTTACGAAATTGAGTTGCGTTTAATTGCAGCCGAATTTACACATTTTCCACTATAGTTTTTATTGCAAGCCTTTCTTAACATGATTTACACTATTTTTTAGACATCCAGTTGTTTATCATAACACATTCCATAAAACATGGTAACCATTGCATTTCTTTTTGCTACAATTAACCATTTTTTATGCACAAAAATTTCCTCCTCCTTTTCCATCATAAGTGTTTCTTGTAACATACTGACTCATCTGAGTAACTTAATGTAGTACATTTTGTAACATTTTGACCATGCCTGTAAACTAGCATGGCTTTTGTAACCTATTTATTGAAAATAAATTACCAATACAGGGTTGTGGAGAATAAAACATAAATTACCGATTGCAGCACATTTGTCGCAGAAGTAACCTTCTAATGACTTACAGCATCTCAAAAACTCCTGAATGTCATAAGTTCTAGCACAAACCTTAGGGGATACAGACAGAAGTTAGCGACAAGATATGACAGAACATAATAGAAGCACACCTTTTTTTCTTCTTCACGAGTAGTCAAATTTCGGAATTTGCTGCCGACTGAGGTACTCCAAGCGCCTTTCATGTGTCCTTAAAAAGAAGGCGACATTTTCTTGTGAAGAGTGCTCTACCACAAATTTTCTAAAATTGTTTTCTTTTTACTATTGAATATACCTAAGTTTTGCTTGGAGACATTGTCGATCCATTGCTTTCATATACAGAAGTCTGTTGAGCAATAGCTTCATCCATTTCATTCTAGAACAGTTGACCTATTTAATTGTTGGCGCTAGATTGTACTGTTACGTCACGTGAGTTGCATTTTACTTTTTTAGATCAGCCAAATAGGCTATCTTACGCTAATATTCCTGGCACAGATTCAGGATTCCTTAATCAACCCACGTTACAGGGTAAAGCTGGAAGTTTTATTCACATATCTAGTCATTTGAGATGAAGTTTCGCACCAACCCCAGGCAACCAATAGAGGGAAAAGTGCGTTAGAAAACAAAGGGGAAATGCAGCTTGATGTCTGCCTGTGTGGGGGAGATAATGCGGGTTTTTTCCCCTCATGTTGCTCTGTTTCAAGTGTTGAATTATCTACTTTTCTCCTACATACTCGCCGAACCAAGAGAGATTAATCTTCAAATTTCGGGTGGATTTTGGGGAAATCCCCAAAGTCAAATGACCTCCACCAAGGTTTAGGGGAGTTTATTGGAAAATATTAGGGAATCTCCACAGATGTCGGGAAGTTTTGGGGTTATGGTGCCATTTCCCAAAATTTTTCATAATGGTTTCCCTAAAACTTGGAGATTGGGGATTTACTTAACTTCACTTCAATTTTCAACACACCTTTGGCCTAACCCCAAACGTCTCATGTATTCGTCTTCATTTCCATAACAAATCACACGATAACTGCAATCGATGTTAAAAACTGTACATGTCGGAATAAATTTATTGAAAAGAAAAAAACTTCGTATTGTACAACATTTTGGATAGCTGACATATGCTAGTGTATCGATGGCTATGTATTTTAATTGTAATTGCCAAGCTAGCTTATGCCGACAATAGAAGAGATTTTTCACGGGGGAAAAAGCGATTAAGGGGGGTGTTCAGACGAAACGGAATAAAATATAACGTAGAAAACGCCTTCGACTACTTCAGTCTCTATCCTTAGTTCAGATGTTGACGCAAAGCAGTCCTGAAGCAACAACTTGCACTTAGAGGGAGAAAAGCGCATCCCAAACATTCTGGCATTGTTGCTTAGTGCTACCAAAAAACTGCGTCTTCACCAAACAGGACTATGTCATCTGCGTATTCTAAGTCGATATGTGGACCTCCTGGAAGGAGATCAATACCCGACAATTCAGTCGACGAGAATGTTATTCCCATCAGTAGATCTATGATGAAGTTAAACAGAAATGAAGAAAGTGGACAGCCTTGACGGACACCACTTGAGGTTGCAAAAGTAGATGACAGTTCGCCATAAGCTCTGACTCGACTAGTAGTGTTCGAGTAAAGAGCCTTCACAAGGTTAATGTACTTCTGAGGTACGCCTTTCAATGACAGACACTGCCAGAGAACCTGTCGATTTACAGAGTAAAATGCTACTTTCAAGTCAAAAAGACCACCATTGTCGGACGTCGACAAGTATGCCTGTCCTGGAACCTGACGGATGATGAATATGTGGTCGATGCAGCCACGACCACTAAAATCTCTTTTGTTAGCAATATCACATCCGACCGTTGTTGCTACCTTGACGTGGTGGTTGGGCTTGCCTATCGTGATGAAGCAAGCGAGCTATACTGGCTGGAACAACTGTTCCTCAAGGTCCTACCATGTCAGACAGGTCGGTTGAAGAGCGGTAAGACTAAAAGCAACAAACCCAATGCCCGAAGGTAGAGTCGTACTGCTGACTGTACAGAGGTGTGGCAGCAGTAAGGTGTTCCCTTCAGACAACCAGCATGACAGCAATGCTGCCTTCTCACAAGGAGAGGTGGGGTTAGAAAAGGTCGACCCTAAAAATGCACACCTCGCCTTATCCCACGGATATCCGTCTCCGGCGGTAAGGTCTCAACAAGTACAAAGCTAACACAAAAATCACCCATAAAAAGTCGTGTGTGACCGACCTCAAGCAGTTGTCCCTTGGGTACTGCGGTCACGCTCTCAGGTCACTAAGACCACCTCTAATCCAATTTCCTTTTCAGGTACCTCCAGAAGAACCCTTCCACGGTGCGGGCAACCGGGAAGTGATAACCGCCCTCATACCTCCAACAGCCCTCAAGACTGAGCAATATCACATCCCAGCTGTAGGTCATGCTAGTTTTCTCATCATAGTTATCCTGTAGTGCAAAAGCACGTGTAGAAAAGTTTACACTCGTGTCAGCTCTTATATCGTTCCACACATGTACGCTTTATTTCGATCTTATTATATACTGAAAGTAGATATTTAAAAAGTATTACTCAGAGAGATTGATACATAATGCACACATGCGTCTTTAGGATCTTTAGCCGCTTCTGACGCGTGCGTTGTAGCATATTACGAACGTATTCCCATTAACATAATGAAGGAAAGCTAACACAATTCGTGGGGTTCGTTTCTTTTTCACCCACCTTAGTAATCCCTCGCACTATAGTGCTTCGATAGGTACTGTTCATTCCTAACATTAGTGTAATCGAGGTTGCCCCCAGCAGAAATGGGTGTCGGAAATTAAGAAATATGGGCTTTGCGTCATCATTGGCGACCAGCGGCTGTATGTAAACCTGTCATACATTGCTTATCGCTACTTCCCCCTTTTGCTTATGTTCAGTAATCAGTATTGTTTGCGATCATTGCATGAACCCGAAAATATTTACACATATGATTTGACTTTACTACTTGCTACTATTAGATACCTAAAAAATTTCATTTAAATTATTTCAGACTACATTTTTAACTAATTACTTGGACATATTCGTGCAATCTCATTCATAACACAATCGCTCTCGAGAACCGTCGATGGACATTTGATCAGTGATGTCTGTATTTCATGATGAAATAGAAATCGAGGATATGGAGTATGATGAAGAATCTGAAACGTATTCCTATCCTTGTCCGTGTGGTGATCGATTCCTAATTACCAAGGTTAGGTTATTTTATAGAGTCCTAAGTTATTCGTTCTGTAGGAGGATTTATTGTGTGGTGATGATATAGCACGATGTCCAAGCTGTTCTCTTTACGTGCGTGTTATCTATGATATGGTAAGTTCGATTTGCTTTAATCTGATACACTTTAGGAAAATGTACTTCCCAACCTGAAAGAATCATCAGCTGAAATAATGGTTTCCTAAAGAATTTCTCTCTAATAATTCCAAACAAATCTCAACCGGCAAACATTTTTCGAATTCATTCTTTTGAGTCATGATCACTATAAGAACCTCATGAACGACCTTAACCTAAGCCATTTTCATCGGTCTTCAAAAAACTAACTTTCAGTTCATATTTTTCTACTTTTCATCAAATACAATTGACTAATCTGGTGTGTTTTACATATTTTATATTATTTGATACATCAAAACGTGTATGCTGTTGTAATTGGTACAAACAAGACTTGAAATTTAGAGTTACTTGTATTCTTCACTTGTGCAGTAGGATGAAAATTACCTAAGTGTAAATGTATGTTGACCAATACAAATAAACGGTCCAGTGAAAAAGTTTTGATAAACAGCATTTCACCAAAATTAAGTACATGAAAACACTGCAAGTATTTACTTTGTCTTGCAATGAAAAACAACTAAGTATTTGAGGAAAAATAAATCAAATAATTTTGCATGTAAAAAACTATTTCTATCCTTGGTCTTCATTTATTAAATCAGTCACGACTGTTTGCAATTCTCTTTTAAAAGTTATAGATGAAAATTTCTCACGAACACGTTCACATCCTGCCTTCCCCAAACGATCTGCAAGCTCTGGATCATTTACAAATCTGAAATAAACACAATTATTTTTTTAGAGCCTAGCGAATTTGAATAAGACAGAAAGGTATTATTTAGTGTTAGGATAATTAAAGTCGATTTGCGAATGATTATCAGTTGTTTTGAAGTTTGTCGTAGTCCTTGAATTGTATTATCATCCTCCAAACCTCAAAATCACATAAAATTTGTTTTTTAATTGAGCTAAAACGATCCATACGAAAGTACAATAGTTATTTAAGTGATCGCATATCCTGTATTGGTGCTTAACTTGACAACCTAAAGTGTAGTCAAAACCGTAGACCATCCAAGTTGCTGGGAGACTAATAAAGTCGATGCAATAGCTTACCTGGGTTTAATTGAAAAAAATAACTTTAATCAGCAGACATGAATTAAGGCCACTGGGAGGACAAGGTAATATGTGGAACATCAATCACAGACTTAAATACTCAGATCTGAAGTTCCTGAGAGCTGATGACATTACTCCAGTACCCAAAATAAGGTAGGGGAATCGGGATTTTAACCAAGATATTAAAGTATTAAGCTGTAGGAAATGAACATATATCATAGATTAGTGTATAACTAAGTGGGGAAATTGGGTTGAGCGTAGACTATGCTTCGGTCCGGTCACCTGGGTAGTATTCCACTCCTCACATAAATGGGATGTGGTGCATATCTATTTGGTATCTCCTTGTAACGATGTTCATGTGTTTAAATAAATCGTGAACATCTACTCAGGTGGTCAGAACATATACACTGACCAGGATAAGAATAGGTTGTAAAGAGCGACCGAATCAATTTCTAGTACCAGTTTATCAAGTATTGGTTTTCGGGGTATCGCAGACTTCGTGATTGAGATCTGAAAAGTAATCATGATTTGTGGTTGAAAACCTGTTAGGCCTGGAGATCAAGTGCAACCACAAATACGCACTCATGAATTTTTCTAAATTTTTACGCTAATATTAACTCATACTTCAATACAGCTGCTGCATTCAATGTATTAAGGACAAACCGGAAGAAAAGTAGGTTTACTTCTAATTCGTATAACACACAGTTCCCCAATTTTAGATGAGTAATCTAGATGGAAGCACATACATTACTTGACCTTGTTATGTTATATTGTCTATATAAGGCTTCACCATAATTAGCGCAATGAATCCACCCTAATCAATTTCGGTCATTCTTATACACCTCTATTTTGAATGCGATCGCATGGAAACCGAGCAGAAGATATCTCAGGTACGGCGATTTGGGAGCCTTTATCTCCGTTTCCGATGATGCTTGACAAACACTTGTAATCTAAGTACTACACAGTACAAACGCTGACAGCAGAATAGCGCCACATCCAGTTCGTGAAGAGTTTTACGCATTCAATATAACAATGTCTACCTCGTTATAATTGGTTATCATCTACTTCGCGTTTGTAAATAAATAACAAAATTATTTAGTCATTCCATCAACAAAAAATATAGGAAGCGTACTTGCTAAAATAGGTAGCCATAGTTTGTGGAAGTTGTTTTATTGGGTGCACTGTACATAGAAATCCTGTAGAACCATGCAAAACAGTTTCTTTAGGACCACCAGAATCCAATGCAATAACTGCTCGAGACAACGACATTGCTTCAATAGGGACAATTCCAAAATGTTCCTTATCTGGGGTGTAAATTACCGCATCACTGGAGGCAATTAACAGAGGTTTGATTTCGGATGAGCACGAACGCATGAAAGTGACATTTTCTGAAACCTGCAAAAATGTGCTCAATTCATTACTGATTAAAGGTTACATTTCTTTAATTTGACGAGTTTATTCAAACGATTACAACACAAAGAAACATTTCATTATTTTTTCAGTACTTGTATTTATTTAACACATTAATTCTGAGAAAATCCGCTAAACACGGTTTTCGATTAACTGATAGCTGCTCTTCAATCTAGGTCGGTTTGATATCTAATTGAAATACAAGGTTCGGTCTGTTTAGGACGGGACATTCGCTGGCGAATCGATACAATGAACCAATCAGACATCAGCCAGATAGTAAGCACATGCCATTGTAGAATGTATAGTTTACTTTTCTACAACATGAGATACGCCATTGGTTTGACGTATGGCATAGACTTTTAAGAGACAAACATATATTCATGAATGTACATTCATCTCTTCATTAGATTTAACTAATAAAACTTCCCTCTCACTCAGGTAGCCATTTGGGCTTCCATATAGAAAGCTTTTGTATGAATATCAGAACCAGATACCACACAAACAAAAATCAAGTTTGGCGCATATCAGAACATAGTCCAAATCCAGATAAGTGCTCCAAGAGATGGTGCTTTGTATAAGTCCGTCCCAGAAGTAGTTGATTTCAATATTATCAATCTGAATGTAGATTTGAGTTGCAGGAGGATGCTGATTATCCCATTGAGGATGACTATTGGAAGTTGGTGCTGGACAGAAACTGTTCAAAGTCTCCTCGAAACTGCTGAGGTAGGACCATGTTATTTGACTTACAAATGTTATGTCTCGAAATTCGTTATCTTCTAAGTGTGAATCATCTTCAATTACCTTCAGTGGATAAATGTCTCTAATATTCGAAATACTTAAGATCGAAACTCCTGGCTTTGACCCTTTTTAATGGAGCCACAGACACACTCTACAAACCCCCTATACCAATAGTCAGTCAGCTACAACGTAGGACCAGGCACATATATGCATCGGTCCAGGTTGCCATACCTCATTAGCACAGCAAGATTAACACCGGATTCATAGGAGTGGTTAGGTCAAATATGAATCATAGTATGTATGACATTTTTAAATACTAGACTTCTAGTCAATTTATAATTCATTGTTCCTATCTCTTTACTCATATATAAATATGTAGTTTAATCGATGATAGTCGAAGGTGGGAAATCACACCAACTAAGCTCGATCTTTTACTGATTTAAACCACCTTTACCAAAGAAGTGTGAAATACACACCATATCATAAGTACAATTAATTGGATAATTAACTTGCTACTACATCCATATTTATACCAAGTTAACCAAGAGTATTTAGCAATTGAATAGTAAGAATTTTCTTCAATACTAAACCTTGAACTATTAAAAAGTAAATCAGAACTGTGATTTGAAGAGTCAGTTATCTGACCAAATAAGTAAATACACCTTACAACATAATGCAAGACAGAAACCTAGATTAATGTTGTATGACTTGATCATCAATGTTTCAAGTCACGGAATAAAGTTATGCTATGGATTAATATACAAATTGTTAATCACCCTAACACACTAGTAATTGATATGGGTATACACCTTAGATTTTAATGGCTGATAGAAACTTATCTTAATCAATACGTTTGAAACACAAGACATACTTCTGTTCAGTCCCCGAGCTTTACCAACTGGAAGCTGTAAAAGACCTACAATTTTGTAATGTCCCGACATTTGTTAACGGAATAGAATCTGGAAACATTTTTTTAGCAGTATGTATCATGTCGTTCAGTTCTGCAGGAAGACCTTTGTCGTAACTTAAGTGATGTGTGGGTTTGTATTTCAGCGTGTAAATGTATGTTTTGATAACGAACGATAAGTAAAATTGCAATGACATAGGATTTAAATCCGTTAATCTGATAAAAACCTGGCTATTGAAAGTCAGTCAGTCAAACTCAACATAGAGCCTGTCACGTATGTACATCGGCTCAAGTTGTCACACCATTAGCACAGAAAGGTGGTATTGTCAGGTCAATTTCCAGAGTAGTAGGGTTAGTGACAATATTAATGTTAACAGAAAGGATTAGGCATAGAAGATAGAATTCAAAGAAATATAAACCAGTGAAGTAAAAAAGTTATGAGGAATTCGGAAACTTGAAATGCAGTGGAAAACAAAAAACTAATGTGCCTGGATTGATGCAAACGATTTCGAACCATGTCGTTCAAAGTCTTTAACTATTGGTCACGATAATCATGAGGATCTCAACCATACAGTGTACACCTTTTAACATGGCTCAGTCTACTTGTCGATTCCGTCATGGACTGGTAGTCGGAGAAGTGAACTAATGGTTAAGAAGTTTGCCCCCAAATACCCTGGTACGGCCGAGAGTGAGGAGAAGTCCGCTTTCCCTCTCCAAATGTTCTTACGTGGTCACGCGTATATAGCCTCTGCCAGGGAAGTCCTACTCACTGCCTCGTGGCGGGGATGTTGCTTACGAAATTGAGAGGACGAAAAGCGAATATCCGGTGCTTTAACCGGGTTGGTGGACACGGAGGATCCACCTAAGGGAGTTGGTTGGAGAACCCAGATTCCAAACTAATGGTGCACATGGACTCCAGGATCCTAAGGAAACAATTAGCGTATGAACCAATTGTTGGTCACCGGCTGCCATGGGTGGACTGCATCTCCTTACGATGCTCCACTGCCTTGTGGATCAGACCTTCAGGTCGAAGGCTCTGAGTGTGATACCCTAAGAAAACCACCTGCTTCGGTTTGGGCACCCGTGCAGTGCCACAGCCCTCACACTTATCAAATGAGATCTGTGTGGCGCATATGTATTTGGTGTGATAAAATAAAATAAATAAATAAGAAGTTTAACTTGCTACTATTAGAGCACGAGTTTAATTTCTACCGGACTTGAGCAATCAGAGTAGTATCATTGACTCTCACATACAGAGTGTAACTCAAATTCCAGTACACAAATCTATATCCGATGAGTTACAAAGCAAAACAATCTGGGAAGTGCTTTGAACTCAATCAAATCAATTCCCCAATCAAAGCTAAAATGTAATTAATTAAAAAAAAAACGTATTTGTCATTATTCACATACTTTCAGCGTTTGTGATAAGCTAACCAACTCGGTATAATACTCTACATTTTCAATAACACGACGATCATAACCTCCAGCTATGATTAAATGAACATTTTCCGGTTTTATTTCAACGGTTGAATCAATAAGCTTATCCCAATGTGTGATCAAGTATTCTATGGAAAGAAAATGGTGTATGAATGAATAGTTTGTTTTGTTCTTAGTGTAAGTTATTTTTTGTAATCAAATAATAACAAAATTAATAAAATAGTGACAGTTGCACGTTACAACATTGAACAATAGTTATAATATAATGAAGAAATTAACAAGTGGGGAAAATAATTAAAACAAAATGGACATTTGTCAAAATTTGCACGCCAATTACACAGATGATACTATGTGTAAAAATGATATTTGAAATAATATCGATTGAAATTCAAATACTTTCGTTTCCTCCAGAAAATTCATTCGAGCTACTTAGGGAATATAATCAAAGACAAATAGGATTTAAAACGTGAATGTGTATAAGTGCTACTGTTCTTAGAGTTTAGTGGGCGTATGAAGCCACGGACAGGAACAAAATAGTCATTTAGTTGATTATACAACAAAAGGTACATAAAAGTAAGTTAAGTTGGTCGAAGTATAGGTTGAGTAAAAATAAACGGATTGTGCTTTTACTTGTTAAACAACAACTTCCAGAGTGTAGCTAACTGTATTCTGTCCATTCTGACCACACTATTCTGACTCGTCCAGACATGAAATGCTTGGGCCGTTAGCCTTCCTTTATGACAGCCAGAAAGTCCCTGAAGTTTTATTTATTTGAAAATATAAATATTAGTACAAAGGGGCATTGAATATGTATGCTCAATACAATTCACTTGATTTGCGTGTGGGCTATGATACTGCCCGGGTACCGAAACCGTAGCAGGTGAAGGTCTAATCCATAAGGCAGTGGAGCATCGTAAGGAGATGCAGTCCCATGGCGGCCGGTGACCAACAATTGGTTCATACGCTAATTGTTTCCTTAGGATCCTGGAGTCCATGTGCACCATTAGTTTGGAATCTGGGTTCTCCAACCAACTCCTTTAGGTGGATCCTCCGTGTCCACCAACCCGGTTAAAGCACCGGATATTCGCTTTTCGTCCTTTCAATCTCGTAAGCAACACCCCCGCCGCGAGGCAGTGAGTAGGACTTTCCTGTCGGTGACTGTATACGCGCGGCCATGTGAGAGCATTTGGAGGGAGAGAGTTGACTTTCCTTACCCTCGGCCGTACCAGGGGATTTCGGGGCCTTTAGTTGCTCTAAATTCAACCTTGTGTCATGTTTTCAACGTCTATCGTGCAGATGCCGATTTGTTCTCAGGCTTCTTGATCTTTCTGGAATTTGCGAACATGTTTCAAACATTGTCTATGTTTCGTTACATTTACATTCAGCTGTATGGATGTTTCTCACACAAATACAGTATTAATTTGAGACAATTTTGTTCTTCTTCTTTGGATAACCTATCTGCAATTTCTATTTATGCCAACCTAACAGCATCACTAGCAAGAAAATAAACTCTTGTGATGTGTTTATTTAAAATTCTTTAGAATTTCTTACGATGCTTCTTTAAAAAACAGAACGACTATAGTATTTTTCCATTCTCTCTGTAAACACATTTTCCATGATCTTGTGCAGAAACTCTTTAGAGCAATCATTTATAGACAACATTAAATTTAAGTCGATCTGCTTGTTTTCGGTCTCCATAACAAGGTTATTGCTTCTATTTATTAAGTTTCTAGCAACTGCGACTTTCACCGAAAGGATATGCGCCAACTTGAAATCTACATATCTCTCAGAATGTGTTGACTTCCAGAATATACTGTTTCCTACATGATTGTTGTGTATTCTTTTAATCAAACAATTGGAAAACGTTATGTGCATTTCAATATTTTTAGGTCGTTATTATTCTTAGTACTACTGTTACTCATGTTATCTTAATATCAAATTTTGGTTATCAGACAAATCAAGAGTGGGAAAGAAGCAGGATCATACAACATAATAGCACTTAAGTCAGACATAACGGTAACTGCGGAGTTTTTCCACGTCCTATTCAGAAACAAGTATCAACAGACTGGAAAGAGGAATATCTCGTCAATATACCGAAAAAGATATTAATAGGCGTGAGGACTGTAAAGGCATTACGTTATTGTTAGTGCCAGAAAAAGTTTCCAAGTGTCCCTGAACTGAATGAAAGATGTAGTAGATACTCAACTTAGAGATCAACAGACTGGCTATCGTATCAACCAAATCGCGGCACTACGGACTACCGTTGAAAAAACAGTTGAATGCAACCCAGTACTGCAAGATTACGAGCAGTAACCAAATCTGAAAGAAGTGACCTTTAAATACATGGGCACTGTCATTATTAAATAGGAAGGGCATGATAAAGATGTGAAGATACGGATAGGCAAAGGTCAACAATCCTGAAACTGAAAAGAACTGTCAGCCAAGATCAAAGTCGCAATCTTCGGTACGAAAGTCAAGACAGTTTTACTGTACGGAATTGAAGCTTCGAGAACTAACATACTTGTCATCAAAAAGGTACAAGTATATATAAGCAGCTGTCAACACGAAATAATCCGGATCTATTGACTAGACACTAATAACCTACTGCGGCAGAGAACAACTCAGCTTCCAGATGAGGGAATCAGAGAAAGACTGTAAAGGCAGACAAGACAAACTGGAAGAAATCATTGAGATATATCACAAAACAGACCCCAACTTGGGATCGTCAAGGTGAAATGACAAGAGGTAGACCAAAAAACACAATCTACCGAGAATTAGAGACAGACATGAAGAGCATCAATAGGACTAGGCAAAAACTGGGAATAAGGAGCCCAGGATGAAGTTGATGTGAGATTCCTAGTGATTGGTGTATGACCCATGGAGAGTAATAGGTGCAAGTAAATAAGCAATAAGAGTGAAGCACGAGATGAAAATTTATTTGAGAACAACATAATTTACTAAAGTAATACTTTGTTTAACTAGACAGTCACTTTCAAGATTTTAACCGTAACTATTCAATAGTCGAAACCATAAGTTATGGTAATTAGTATTGAAAAGATCCGCTATATCAATTGACGGATTAATATTTGAAAATTTAATAAAATAAAACTTGATGAAGTTATTCGGTCAATAGTTTTTCATGATACTCTTCTGTTCTGATTTAGTAGGTCAAAATCCAGTTATTTTAATGCAAAAATCTCGATATATAGATTAGAGTTTAATTTTTAGTGAAAAAAATATCGGTGCAAAAGTTTATAAAAAAATCTACAATATAGAGGACTTTAACACTTCATTACGTCCCGAAATGAATAGAGATAGTCAAATTAAGGTTACTGAAATATGTGAATTTGATTTGAACAGGAAGGATGCAACCTTTGTATGGTGTTATTATACAGATTAGAAAACGAGATGTATCTCCAATCTTGAGTAAACTAATACTCTTTGTGGATTTATAAGCGTACATCACTTAGTATTCCATTTAAACAAGTTAAGAATTGACTGCTTTTGACGTAACTATTTAATCTGTTCTTCGTGGTTTATCATAATACAGTAAAAAAATATCTTGTTCAATCTAAATTAATTTTATTGAACACATATTTAAATGGCTACAAAAACAAGTGAATTTCAATGGTCAAATAAGGTCACAGGATAGACAAATATCTTCCTCCATTGCGAAATATTTGGTTGAGATCAGCTATAAGGTTGATATCAGGTCAGACTTTGTAATTTGGTACAAAGGTTCTCAAGGGCGTGTACTAAGGTTTATTGAAGCCTTGACTATACGAAAACGAGAACATCCTTTATGTGTTTGAAAACAATTTTTCCTTACCCTTAACGTACCCTGGTAATACTGATTTATCATCCAGAGTAGTTTTGACATTGTTTTTGTGTACTTTATTATTACTATTATCTTTGTTTCCATTTACTATTTAATTTGTCTGGTTGACCTTTTATTTTCATATATGATATGTGTGATCGTATTGTTGAAAATGTATTGCGCAAATATATCACATAATTCTGATAAACTTTGTCTTCTCATTTCATTATAAAAATTTGACTTCTGTTAGTCAGATTCTAATGTGTCCAGTTATCCAAATGACTTTTGTTAATTTGCGATGATTAGAATTAGTAGACGGGATAAGAAAAAATAAACTATAAGGAAAGATTAAAAACTTACCAAGACTGCACAAAGCCAATGAGAGATTCTTTTTTCTTTCATATCGATTAATTGATACGAATATTATTTTCGCTTTCTCAGGTATAATTTCTGATGATAAATATTTACGATATTCATATTTCGACTGATGATCAGTTTGAAATTGTGCTGATGTTGGTAAGCATAAACTTTTTTCATTTGCAATTGGATATAAAATACGCAGTTGTACGTGATTAAGTGAAGTAAATGTTTCTCTAAAGATATTAGCTGGAGTTTAATAATAATAATAATAATAAAGTAGATATTTCAGGAAAAATAGACGTTAGACAACTAAGAATAAAATAATACGCATGGTCCAAATTTATTTGATCAACTAAGTATATTTGACAGGAAACTATTAAATATGAGGGAATAAGTGGAACTTTGAAAACGGTGGATTCTTACATACAATTTTATTGTATTCGCTAAATACTAAGTTTGTGGTCTTCTTATATTGCCCGAATTGTAAGCTGCTAACTGACTCATTACCTATTGATATATCTTTCACCATCCCTAAATTACAGTTAACTGATTATATACCTTCTTATGTTGATTATCAGTTATTACTAATGGTCAATTGTGGTTTCTTGATTAATGTAAGTTTTTAAGTTCCAAGAAAACGAAGTTAACCAGTTAGTTTCACTTATATTCTTACTGGAAACGTTGAGGACAATACTGATTCGCATGGGTTAATCAGTATCAACACACTTAGAGGGCATTGAGGTAAGCAAACAATATTCTAGTGATTGTATTAAGTGACCCTGGGGTGTATCCCCGTGTGGGTTCGAACCCCACTCCCAGCAGGCGGCTGCCCCCAAATGCCGTGGTAAAGCCGAGGGTTAGGAAAGTCAGCTCTCCATCTCCAAATACTCTCACATGGTCACGCGTATACAGTCACCGACAGGAAAGTCCTACTCACTGCCTTGCGACGGGGTACTGCTTACGGAATTGAGAGGACGAAAAGCGAATGTCTGGCGCTTTAACCGGGTTGGTGGACATGGAGGGTTCACCTAGGGGAGTTGGTTGGAAAACCCAGATTCTAAACCAATGGTGCACATGGACTCCAAAATCCCAAGGAAACAACTAGCGTATGAACCAATTGTTGGTCACCGACTACCATGGACGGACTGCATTTCCTTACGTTGATACACTGCCTTATGGATTAGACCTTTAGGTCGAAAGCTCCGAGTGTGGCCCCTTAAGAAAATTAGCTGCTACGGTTTCGGTACCCGGACAGTGTCATAGCCCTCACATAAATCAATGATAACTGTTATTGTCCTCATTGTTATTGTATAGCGCATGTTTTTAGTTCCCCTTGCACCAATGTTTATGTATTCAAATAATAAAATAACAAAAACCATATAGAAGTTGAATTTATAACATAACCCGACCGTTGTTGCTAACTTGTTGTGGTGATCGAAGTTGCCTATCGTGACGAACCAATCGAGCTATACTGGCTGGAACAATCGTTCCTCAACGTCCTACCATGTCAGACAGGTCGGTTGAGGAGCGGTAAGACTAAAAGCAGTAAATGAAAGGTCTGAGGGCGAAGTCATACTGCAGACTGTATAGAGGTGTGACGGCAGTAAGGTGTTTCCTTCAGACAACCAGCATAACAGCGATGCTGCCTTCCCATAAGGAGGGATGAGGTTAGAAAAGGTCGACCCTAAAAATGCACATCTCGCCTTATCCCATGGATTTCCATTCTCGGTGGTAAGGTTCCAATAAATACGGAGCTAACACGAAAAATACTCACGAAAAGGTCGTGTGTGACTGACCTTAAGCATTTGTCCCTTGGGCATTGTGGTCACGCCCTCAAGTCACTAAGACCACCCCTATTATTATTATTTATTTCAACACATAAATATTGGTACAAGAAGGCACCAAATATATATGCGCCACACCATGTTTGTGTGTGTGGGCTGTGATACTGCCCGAGTGCCCAGACCGAAGCAGGTGGTTTTCTTAGGGGACCACACCCAGAGTCTTCGACCTGAAGATCTGATCCACAAGGCAGTGGAGCATCGTAAGGAGATGCAGTCCTTCCATGGAAGCCGGTGACCAGCGATTGGTTCATACGCCATTTGTTCCCGCAGGATACTGGAGCCCATGTGCACCATTGGTTTGGGATCCGGTTAAAGCGCCGGACATTCGCTTTTCGTCCTCTCATTTTCGTAAACAACACCCCCGCCACGAGAAGGCAGTGAGTAGGACCTCCCTGGCAGAGGATGTATACGCATGGGCGTGTGAGAGCATTTCGAGAGGGAGGGTGAGCCCATCCCACTCTCGGCCATACCAGGGCATTTGGGGGTAAGATCACCCCTAGCACATTTTCTTTTTCAAGAACCTCCAAAAAACCGCTTCCACAGTGTGAGATACCGGAAAGTGAAAACTGCCCTCATACCTTTAACAGCATTCTAGATCATTGTATTCATAACGTAATTTTAAAACATAAGATACGGTGAATTTGAATGCAACAGAATAGTTGAAGTAATTAAAAAAAGTAGAACATTGATATGAACTACTCACATTAGATGATAAATTAAATCCTTAATCTTTGTACGTTAAACTCGGTTTCGAAACTAAATCGATAATCAGATTAACTTTAAAAATGAACTGGTGCCTTAATTGATTAGAGTTCTTTATTTTCCAACTAAGACGTTGGAGATTTGAAGTTTTTCCTTATCGAAATTGGTTTGGGCAGTCGATGGGTAATACTACCAACATTCAACACGACTAGTATGGCTCCAAGTACATGAATCCGTTTATCGTAGGTGATTTAATTTATTGATTACTAACTATACGATAGGTTCTCACGTTTTTGAATTAATAATCACTATATGTCTTAGTGATTTAATTTGACGTCTTTAATAATCCCTACACCATGAAAGACCTGTCGTTTCCTTAAAAATAAAAAAACTAAGTTGTTTAACAGAAAATTATTACATCGAAATGTCTGCTTAAGTAACATCGACTAAAAACTAGTGTGAGATTAGAACTATTAAAGTCACAAGGATTATTTAGTAAAGACTATGGACGAAAATGAATAATTATTAAAATGCCAAGTTGATATCTCCAACTACGGTTGATACCACCCTATTGCCCACTCCCGCCAATTTGAGTCATGACAAATTACTTCCCAACAACAGCTGTTACGTTGACGTGATGGTTGGGCTTCTATATTATGATGGCCTAAACGACTTATATTAGTTAAAGCACTTGTTCCCTTAGGTTGTGTTATATCAAACAGCTAGGTTGGAGGACTGTAAGAAGAAAACATCAAACTGATATCTGGGGGAAAACTCATACTTTTAACTGTACTGAGATGTGACAATAACAAGGTATTTCCCTCAAATAGCAGATAGTAGACTAAGAAAACGCACATACATGTTCAATGCTAATGATGCAGTTGATTCTACCAGGTAGATGTGCTGTATCTTGATACCATAGATAACTTCATTTAGTGAGCAGTCATCACTCAGCCAGTGTGTATCATCCATTGATTACTATTGGAAACATTCACTTAACAGCCAAAGAATTCGTTCATAATAGGTACAGTAAACAAGGGTTGTTTATTTACTAGTAGTGTATTTCACACTAAAATGTACGTAAATATTGTCAGACCGGTCACAGTTTAAGTGATAGAATAAATAAATAACTCACATGTGAATTTACTGTTAACAAGAACAATATCAGCCATTCCAGTTGATATCTGCTCAATATAATCAATAGGTATTCGGTACAGCTTTTTCAACAAAAAATTTTTATTTTTCGTTAATAGCAAGTCTGGAAAATGACAATAAAATATCGTCTTCGAATCAAGAAATAATATTTGCACATGAACTTACCTTGTATCCAAAAGCCCGTAGTAGAATTATGGGGGCTGATATTTGGTCAACAAATGTTACATCTGGTTTCTTTTCATAAAATAATAAATATAGTGTTGCAAGGATGAGGCGAATATACGCACATAAAGCTGTCATGTAACCAAAGATGGACCGAGGAAACCAATCAGCTACAACTGTAACACTCAGATTTGACTGTAATGTTTCTTCGAAACAATGTTTAGGGTCGTGGTGATTTGTAATAATGCTGACATCATAACCACATGACTCCAAGGCTACTGCCGAATCCACTATAAGTCTTTCGGCACCACCTATGCCAAGGTCTGGATGTAGAAATACAATCTGCTTTGGCATTTTGTAAATGACGAAGATTCAAGAGTTTCGCTGGAATTTGTATAGAAGCGTAGGACTGGAGTCTAAAAAACAAAATAGTTTGAGCAATATATTGTATCATATTTGCGATTAATTAGTACAATTGTAAGTTAACTTATTTCGATCTAACTTAACAAACAGTATACTTGTACTAAGTTTTCAGTCTTCAGTAATAAGGATAGTAGGTTGATGAACCTGTTTTAATCCTGACACATTGCTTTCCAGTGAAGGTCCAGCTTTTCCTTGAAAGTATTCACTGATGGGGCTGATACCACTTGTTCGGATAAGGCGTTCCAGCGATTGAATACTCGATGAAAGAATCGGGACCCCACTTTAAGTTTATTAGGTCGCGGTTTATGAACCTTCTTGCTATGATCTCAGAGATTATTAGTGCTGGACGGAGCGAGAAGAAAAGACATATTAACGCCCAAATCATGATCTAAGTTATGAAGTGCCAGCATAAAGTCACCTCGCGTCCTACGATACGACAAGGGGAAAGGTTTAGGCGTTTTAAACGCTCATCGTAAGGGAGTCTAGAAAGACCCTTCACTAATTTTGTTCCCACACGCTGAACACGCTCAAGTGAGTTAATATCCTTTATCAGACATGGACCAGTTACTTGGTACAGTACTCTAAGTGTGGTCTTACATAGGTGAAATATGAAATTCGAAACATTTCCTCGTCACAGCATTTGAATGCTAGGCGAAGTGACCATAACGCACGAAAACCTTTGACAACAGCTGCATTGCAATGCGTAGTTTTTTTCAAGTTATGGCTTATTATTACTACTAAGTCTTTATGTTCTTGAATGCGTGGAAGAGATGTACCATCATTAGTATAATGGTAACTATTACCATGTCCGATGTGCATGAGTACACTCTTCCTAGAATTAACTTCCAAGCTCCAATCTCCAGCCCGTCTAAGTCGTCTAAGTCAGCTTGAAGATCCACATGATCAGCCGCACTTTTTATTGTTCTCCAGATTTTTACATCATCCGCAAACAACAATGTCGACGAACTAAGTAACAGCGGTAACTCATTAACGTAGAGAAGGAAGAGCAGAGGGCCTAAGATGGTGCCTTGGGGTACACCACTTTTGACCGGCCTCCAATCGGATAGCGTTCCGTTGACCCTCACTCTCTGTCTGCTGTCACATAAGAAATTTCCTATCCACTCATGTACAGTACCTATTATTCCGAAGCTCGTGAGCTTCTGCATAAGACCTACGTGTAAAACCTTGTCAAATGCTTTGCTAAAATCTATGAATATCACATCGACAGACAGACCGTTATCTAGGGCTGCTGTCCAATCCTCCCTCGCAATAAGCAAGTTAGTCAAGCATGAACGCTTGTTACGAAATCCGTGTTGCTCAGGAGCTAACAGATTGTGTAAATCTATGTGGCTTATCAACCTAACCCGAATTATCTTTTCAAGTAACTTAACGACTATGCTAGTTAGACTGACAGGCCGGTAGTTAGATACTATCTGTCGCTGACCGTCCTTAAATATAGGACTAACTATAGCGTCCTTCCCTTGACATCTGAAGGAAAACACGGAATACAATGGACAGCTCAGAATCAATTAGACGATTTGGACTTCGCAGATGACCTATCCCTCCTATCACGTACACACGAACAGATGCAGATGAAGACAGCCAGTGTAGCAGCAGTCTCTGCATCAGTAGGCCTCAGCATACAAAAAGGGAGAACCAAGATCCTCAAACTCAAAGCGGAAAACAGCAATCCAATCACTCTTGATGGCGAAACTCTGGAAGATGTAGAGTCCTTCACATACCTGGGAAGCATCGTCGATGAACAAGGAGGTTCAGATGCAAACGTAAAGGCCGAGATTGGTAAAGCAAGGGTCGCATTCCTACAATTGAAGAACATATGGGACTCAAAACAACTTCCAACCAATATGAAAGTGAGAATCTTCAATACCAACGTCAAGGCAGTTCCACTGTATGGAGCTGAAACTTGGAGAACTACAACAACCACAATCAAGAATGTACAAGCATTTATAAATAGCTGTCTACGCAAAATACTCAACATCCATTGGCCGGATACCATCAGCAATAGCCTTCTGTGGGAGAGAACAAACCAACTTCCAGCTGAAGAAGAAATTAGGAAAAGACGATGGTAATGGATAGGACATACATTACGCAAATCGTAAAACTGCATCACGAGGCAAGCCCTAACTTGGAATCCTGAAGGGAAGCGGAAAAGAGGAAGGCCAAAGAACACATTGCGTCGGATAATAGAAGCAGATATGAAAACGATGAATTACAAGTGGACGGAGCTAGAAAGGATTGCCCAGGACAGGTTTGGATGGAGAATGCTGGTGAGCGGCCTATGCTCCTTCACGAGTAACAGGCGTAAATAATAGCGTCCTTCCAATCTCTAGGGAGTTGAGCGAGTGAGAGGGACATGTTGAAGAGTGTCGCAAGCGGTTTTGAAATAATGTCCGCAAGAGATGACAGCAACCGTGGATGTAACCCGTCTGGGCCCGGTATCTTACCAGGTTTGAGGTTAGTTATCAACGGAAAGACAGTTTCCTCAGTCACCTGTACAGATTCAATGGCTGGTATCTCGGTGTGAGTGGGACAAGTATTTGTTACAATAAACGTGGAGAAGACTTCGCTAAAATAATCTGAAAAAGTCTCAGTTTTTGCTCAATCTGATTCAGCTAGTAATTCTGAATTTTCGTGTAACAGTAACGGGGGAATACCATCACTACGTTTCATTTGCCGTTTAACATACGAAAACAATCGTTTCGGACAAGTACGATTGTCATATACTAACTGTAGTTCGTAAGTGGTACGGGATTTCGCTATGGTTTTCTTACAGATATTACGGTATTTTTGGTACTCACGCTTAAATGGTTCATGACCTGTCAACAAGAATAAGTCCCAGAAATGTTTCCTACGCTTTAACAGCTTCCGGGTTTCCTTATTAATCCATGGAGGGCAATGTGATAGCTTACGCGCTGACCATGAGATAAACGGCGACGTTACGGACCCGAATGTAGCCTTAAACTTATTCCATTCATCTTCGATCAATCCATCCGCGTCGACCGACCAATCAGTCGAGATAGCACAGTTTCTGATTTCCGGAATATTAGCTCGCCAGATATTGGGACGGGGTGGAGCAGATACGAATTGTATACCATGTGTCCTAAACTTAAAGTGAATTACAACGTGATCACTGTTCACTAGTGGAGGAAGGTGCTGGATATCAAAGACATCCTCACAGTGGTGGGTGAGGGCGAGGTCCAGCAGTGACGGATCATGTTGCAAATCAATATGTGTCGGTCTTGTGATACATTGTACAAGTGCACACTGAATAACGGTAGATAAAAGGTCGCTATCGAAACCACTACCTGGAGCTGTAAGCTCTATCCAGTTGATATGCGGTGCGTTGAATTCCCCAATGATGGGACAACATTCTGCCATACTCCAAGAACAGATGTGTCTTAGGATAAAGTCGTCAGCGAGACAAGACGGACTACGGTATATTCCCCCTATAGTCACTAACCCATTTCTAGATTTAATCTTACAACATGCAACCTCACATGTGCCACTGATATGAGCCTCCGATATGGTTGATTGTATACGAAAGTGATCCCTAACGTAAAATATTATACCTCTCCCTTTGCGACTTGAAACTCTATCACTTCTGATACAGATATAACCAGCAATGAAAGGAGAACAGTCTATATCAACGGTGAACCAAGTTTCTGTAACAACAATTATATCGGGACATAATTCTTGCACCATCAGACTTAGCTCGGACGTTTTATTTCTAAGACTACGAGGGTTCGTGTAGCACACACTTAAGGTGTCTTGGAAATCAATCGTTCTACCCATACAGGCCTCGGAAGCATTGGCTTCCAAGACCTGACTACCCGAAAACCCTTAATGGTAAGGTTATTTTCGCCATTTTATTTGCGAGTCCTCAACTCCGTAAGAGCATTCTTCCACTTGATTCGATCCTCAAGCGGCTAATCCGGTCGAATACGGATATTTGAGGCACGAGTTTTTAGTGCGCTTTTCAATAATATGTCTCTTTCTTCAAAACTCCCGAGAACCAGCTTCAGGATTCTTCTTGGTTGGGTCTCGCCTCCAACCCATTTACCAAGTCGTATTACTTTTGTAATACGTACCCCTGAAACCTCTTCAGGTAGTACATTCCTTACCACAGACTCCACTAACTGCAGGTCATGTGCATGTCTTCTAGCAGGGTCGTTGTCTTTCGACTCCTCTAGATTCCAAATAATTAAACTAGGGAGGGGTTTAGCTTCTTTTGAAACTGTGTTCACAGCTTTCGACCGTGACGTTAGATCCTGTATTTTAACTACTGGTATCTTACGATTAGTTTTTATTCTAACCGAGTCCTGGGAGTCAGGCGAATGACTCACAACAATGTCAGACGAAGCTTTACTATGAGACTTTGGCGGATTGGTCTGAGAGTCCACCAAGGACTTACCAAGTAAACAGTCATTAGTTTTAGCTATCTTTCCTACTCTTCTGCGTTTTCGCGTCATCCATTTCCCATCAGTCGAAACGTCTACATTAGAACAACTCGGGACAGTAATTGTTTTATCTGGGTCACCGGTTGCTGCTGTAGCAATATGGCCACCAACGTCTAATGACGTGTCACTCACTGATCGTTTCGGGGGAGACCGTTAAGCTGCGGATTGCACAGGTAGATGTCTGGCTTGCGCCGTGATAGCACTTACGACACTAACGCAATCTTCGCCATCAGAACCAATGTTGCCAGTACAGCCCTCATCAACCTTCTTATTAGCCAACACCAGGAGGCTAATTGCTTCCTGGATAAGCAATGTTTTGCTCGAGCAACAAAAACTACAAAGCCAATGGGAGTTGGGCTTGGAACATCTTTTATATGCAGTGGGGCTTAGTCGGGTGCACATCTTATGGAACCACTTATTACACTCATCACATTGCATCCCTTCATCCACGGG